GGGGATTGGCTCGCTGCGTTCTTTTCCGCCTCATGTATGGCATTCGGAATGGGGCCAAGGCTGTCGGGCAGTACCGATGTGCATAGTAGTGCAAGCGCCGTGAGCCATTCCAGTTCCGGGTGCTTGGGGGACAGCATGACGATGACGAAATGCATGTCAACCGTCTTCCAGAACTGAACTTGTGGAGAGACATCGGAAGGAAGGGGGATCTCGAGGTCGGCGGGTGACGATAGGCATCCCAGCGCCGAGAGATACAACAGAGACATGGATTGTGGAACTTCACCACCAACAGTTAACTGCCGTACAGTTTCGTCCGGGTGTTGCGAAATGTCACCGTCTGCGCTGTGGAACCGCGGTAGAGCCACCAGCTGACATGTGGTGATGCACACTGGCAGCAGCGATGAGATGATGTGCGGAGCAACCGTGACGGCGTTTAACTGGAGGACATATGAGATGAGCGCGCCGAGATAATAGATTGGCGCGAGATATTTCTCCTTCAAGCATCGTTGCCACATGTCCACCATAAGTTCTGCAAAGTCGATAAGCAGACGCAGTGGTTCCTTGGCACTGCCCATCTGGGGCAGCTTTTGGAAAATGAGAGAAGAAAACGCCTGCGACGGATCGGACGGAAAGGCAAAGCGCGAGAACAGGTCGAACGTCAGGGGTTGGCCATGAAATACGCTGTGGTCTAGAGCAAGCTTCAAGAACTGGCAAGGGTGTTAGCGGTCTGTGACACGTGTAAAGTGATGGGCCTCTCACATCATATGGTAGCCCGTCAGCTCCCCCGTCGAAAGACACTGAACGGGTGATGACAGAGGGACGGGCCACGGCTTCATCCCCCGAGTGTGTTTCCAGAGCAAATGTCGGGCTGTCCACCGCAGGTCGCTTTCGTTTGCCTTTAGTAGGGGTGCGCTCGACAGCGCTAGGAGCCGGATCCTTTTTCTTTTGAGTCTGGGTCTTAGTGGGGCTGCTTCCCGACATTTCCAAGCCATCGAAGCCATCTGCCATGCCCCAGGACCTGTTCTTCCCCGGCGTACCCCCCGTTCCCTTCCGCCTCGACTTCGCACGACCAAGTTGTTCACTAAGGTCCTGGCGCGCGAACTCGAGTTCGGTGGTTGCGTGCTTTTGTTTCGCCAGTGCCTCCTCCACTACCCGCTCCTGCTTAGCCGCATTTTCGGCATTCAGCTTTTTCAGACGTGTGACCTCGGCCTCATGGGTGGCCTGTGCCTTTTCGTATTTGGACCGGAGGAGTAAAGCCTCGCCCTTGGATGCCGTCAGGTCCGACTCGAGGGCCGACAGACGCGCTCGCAGGGCCGCTATGATTTCGTTCTGCTTCGCTGGGCCGGCCCCGTGCAGGGCTTGGGATGCTTGTGGGCCATACTGCGGCCGAGTAACCGATGGGAGAGGGCGGGCAAATTGTGATTGGGTGGGTGCGGGACGCTGGGCGATCGTGCTTGTTGGGAAGCGTTGAGACGGAAATTGTTGCGATGGAAGAGGGTGCCCGGCAGGTCGGGGCGGCGCCGGGTATTGCGGCCGCGGAGGATAGACGGATCTTTGCGGATGAAATTGGGACGGCGGTCGGGGGTACTGGGGTTGCTGGTTCCATGGCTGTTGTGGTAGCGCTGCATTCGGTCGAGGTAGCGCTGGTGGAGGCTGCAGCGAGCGCTCGTCGATCACCACGGTGTCGTCCAAATCGTCGTCGTCGAATCCATACTGATTGAGGATCGTCTGCCGGGCTGGGGCCGCCTGGGATGCCGCTGCCTGTGATTGGGCTAGCTTTTGGGCCTGCGTGAACTGGATCGCATTGTCTTCGAGCTCCTGCAACACTGTGTCATTCAGGTCGTCGAAGCCGTCATCGGAAAATTCGTCGTCCATGGCCACCGAGTTCTGAGGGCGGCTTTCCACATGGCAATGCCATTAGGTGGTGCGGCGGCGCGCAGCGTTGTCGCTCTTCGGAGCGCCGTTGTTTGCAAGGTTGACGTTGGGGCCGTCGAATTGTTTGTGCCCCGCGATCCATGGGTGGCCTGGCGTGACGCGCCCCCCACTGCAAGGCGCGTCGGTCAGACCCAGCACGGCGCCTTCCGCTGACCGGCTGGTCGGACAAAAACTTTGACCGCCTGCGGCTCGGCAGCTCTTACACAAGATAAAGAATTGCATCGAAACCAAATATGCTGGTTGTATTCGGGGCCCCCACCAAGACGACTAATGGGAAGCTGACGGTATTGAATCACATACCTTTCAAATTAGCGCCTTAATTCTCTATCTGCTTTACCACTATTCAGACAGGAATGGCTGCGGCGACTTTAAATGCACACGATTTCCTGTGGCAACAAGAGCATGTCGGGGTTTCAGTCAGGCACCGTCCCCGGTTTTGGCGGTTAGCGCATTTGACGACCCACCGAACCCCGGCCGGCGCAGTCAAACACAAACAATCCTCAGAGACGGATACGCCAGCACGAATGACGTATCTGTCTCTCAGAGCATCCATAAAGCGCGTGAAAGCACTGAGAAACCTGATAGTTTTATGTCATTGAAAAGCTGATAGTTCGAGCGGAAAGAGAACGGATGCAAGTGTCTATTTTCTGTACAGCCAAGAAAACGAGCCCCACCCGGTTTCCGCCAAGCCACGATTGACGTAGGACACGCCGGATTGGAAATTTCAGAATCCAACAGTCCAACTTCAAACGACCCGCCAGACTCGCAGGGCACGAACGATCCTCTCCCAGCTTCCCACCACTGTGTCCACACCGCACCAAACTGTCTCTGTCACGAATACTCTGCGACCAGCAATTTGCCGAACGCAAGCACCGCCGTCGCAAGCCGCCAAGGCTGTCGCACCCGATCCGATCCTTCATTCTTGGTCCGAGCCCGAATTTGCCGAAGACGACACCCGATCGCAAACACATCCCAGCATGTCGGGCAGGTCGCGCCGCGGGGTCAAATTCCCCCACAAACAACATGGCGCAGAAGGCCGAAGGGCAAGCTTTGGCGAGGGGAGTGAGGAGGGTTCGCCGAGGCTAAAGTCGAGTGGTTCGTCGCTGGAAGACATCAAGGAGGTAGGTCGTGCGCCTTGTCTTGCGGTGGGAAACGGTCGCTGACGAATTTCGCGACACAGAAGCCGGCAGAGGTCGCTCCTCCAGCGCAAACGGAGTACGAGAAGAAGAAGGCCAACTTCATCACACGGACATTCTGGACGCTGGTCATGATTGCCGGCTTCTTCACAGCCTTATTCATGGGTCACGTCTACATCCTGGCCATCATCACGGCCATTCAGATCATCTCGTTCAAGGAGGTTATCGCGATAGCAAGCGTACCAACTCGCGCTCGCGATCTGAGGTCCACGCGGGGGTTGAATTGGTACTGGCTTGTGACAACCATGTACTTTCTGTACGGAGAAAGTGTCATCTACTACTTCAAGCACATTATCTTGATTCACAAGGTGTTGCTCCCGCTCGCGACGCACCACCGCTTCATCAGCTTCATGCTGTACATTATCGGTATGTCCCCACGCGCTCCTCCGATGTATTGGCCGGCGGAGATTTCCATTACCATGGGCTTCCCACGGTAGACTCCAAGTGTTGGGACAACCGAGCTAACCAAACCCAGGCTTCGTTTTCTTTGTCGGTTCTCTCAAGGGTGGACATCTTAAGTTCCAGTTTTCGCAATTCGGATGGACTCACATTGCGCTTTTCCTCATTGTCGGCCAGGCTCATTTCATCATGAACAACGTGTTTGAAGGCCTCATCTGGTTCTTCCTGCCCGCCGCTTTGGTCATCACCAATGACATCTTCGCCTACATCTGCGGCATCACCTTTGGCAGGACACAGCTTATCAAGCTATCGCCGAAGAAGACTGTGGAGGGATTCGTCGGCGCCTGGGTCATGACGGTTATCTTTGGTGTCTTCCTCACCAACATCCTTTTGCGCTTCAAGTACTTCCTCTGCCCCGCCACCGACCTCGGCGCCACTCTCTTCAGCGGCTTGGACTGCAAGGTCAACCCGGTGTTCATTCCGCACACATACGAAACGCCCGAGCTCTTCTTCCTCCCGCCTGGCACCACCTTTAGCGTAACCATGGCTCCCATGCAGCTTCACACGTTTGCGCTGGCCACCTTTGCGTCTCTCATTGCGCCCTTTGGCGGTTTCTTTGCGTCTGGACTGAAGCGCACCTTCAAGATCAAGGACTTTGGCGACTCCATCCCCGGCCACGGTGGCATCACTGACCGCATGGACTGCCAGTTCATCATGGGTTTCTTTACGTTTGTGTACTACCACGCTTTCATTGCTATCCCCACAACCACGGTGGGTTCCGTCCTGGAGTCAGCCATTCTCGGGCTGAACCACAACGACCAGCTCGAGCTGTGGAGGAATCTCAACAGCTACCTCGCACAGCAAGGTCTTCTTGACGAAAAGGTCGTCCGCTGCTTAGCACTCGATCAATGAGTAGGACATGTAATGGGAGGTGGTTACGTGGGGGATTTGCATGCATTTTTCGTTGGAATTCAACACGAGCGACACTAATATGCATCGGTTGGTAGTTGGTTGGGCGTCATGGCGTGTTGCTCAACGCTATCATGTATAGTAGGCGGTTACCTTGATATGAATACAATTGTCATGACGTATTTGTAAGGGCCCCTGAGGTCAAAACTACCCTGAGGTTGACAAGTGGATTTTTCTTGGGGATAGGAGTTGAAAGATTTTGAACACAAAACCGCAACCAGCCAGGACCCACCATGCCTCCAAGGTCATATATCCTCCTTGGGCAGTTGATTTTCCTTGTTTCAAGCATTTTGGGTAGGAGAAACCTCAGATACTGTGAGTTTTCCCAAAGGCGAAGGCAGCCCCTTTTACCCCTATTCCCTACCTGACCCCACTCGAACCCCCACTAGCTCAGCCATGAGCGGCTTTTCGCGGCTCAAACTTCAACAACCAGCCAATTGGTTAGCTCAGCGGTTACTCGCTGGGTTCGAATCGGGAGCATCTCAGTTCGAACCCAAGACAGGGCGCCTAGTATAGTGGTCAGTACACTTCGTTGTGGCTCGGATCTCCGAGTTCTCATCCCCGAAGAAACCCAGGTTCGATTCCTGGGGCGCCCAATTTTTGCTCCCTTGACACTTTTGTGCCTCCCGGCGGCGGCACAGAGTCAAACTGGGGTTTTCTTGCATTTGGTCTACGAATTAATTGTCTTGGTGCCTCGGCGTTGAACCAGGAGCGAAGTCACGATCTTTATCCCCTTGGCGGGAGCACCCATGACTGGAGTGTCCGGTTGGGACGATGGGCTCCACCCTAATGCATCGACGGGAAGTCTACGGACAGCTGGATCGCAGCCAAACCGACGGAAAAAGAACGCATGGAAGTATGAGATACTTCTAGAACGGTCAAATTGCTTGCATCTGGCAGGGCAGCCACTCCCGCCTCAGACTCACTCAACCAGCACCAAATCACCACGGCACGACATATGCATATTTCAGCCACGGCATTTATAATCCAGCTCACCTACAAAGTGAGATGTCAGCACACGTTGCATCTGAGTGGGGGGCAAAATATAGTTGCATTATGGTGGTTCTCCCGGTCCGAGGGATCGAGTGGTCGCATCATATCTGGTTCCTTAGGTAGGCAGCCGAGCAACCCTCGGCTTCTAGAAATGAAATAAAGATATTATGGACCATACTTTTTTTCCCTCGTGAAACTCAGTCATCCAAGACATCCAAGACATCGATCCTTTGTTGGTGTCGAGATTGCGAGACAGAAGCACATAGAACCACTTCGGTTGACCGTCAGAGGACAATCCAGTTGTCCACTCACCCATTTTGACATCCACGTCACTTCGAATAGTGATCATGGACAGAGCAAGTCCAAAACAAAAACACACACAGGTCTCATACTCCTTTTCTCCCACTCTTTGGTGCTGCTCACTCTTTGATCTATAATAGACCCAAAGCCAGCCCAAACCATGCCCCGCGACTCCGAGAGGCAGCAGTTGGCCGAAGACGAAGCCCTCGCCCTCCGGCTGCAGAACATGTTTCTGGTGGGCAGTCCAGAAGATATCCAAGACGGTCCGGCACCGTGTTGGCGCGACCCTAATGTCCCGACATGCAGCATCTGTAGCACCGCTGACATGCAAGCATTCAGGGGTGTCTGCCGCCACTGCGAGGATATCCTCGGGATGTCCAAAAGAGAATATCTGGCCAGAGATACTAATCCCGAGTCGGGTTCGAGCGCCACCAACAGCCAGGCGGGTCCCCGAGCCGAAGGAACAGCCGAGGAAGTCGTCTGGTCCACCATTCAGCAGTACATCCGCACCCAAACCGGCCCCAAGCCGCTCGTCAAATGCGCCATCTGTAGCGAAGAGCTCATCATCCCCGGCCTGCAAGAACCCAACGGCGAGCGCGAGGCGCACAGAGTCCTCCAATGCGGCCATGTCGTCGGGGCGGATTGCATAGCGGAATGGATCCGAATCCGACTGAGCGAATTCTCCATGAACAGCAGACCCAACTGTCCCTACTGCCGCAAGGAAATCACCGACAACTACACTCCCCGGGAAAGACCACCATACCCAAGCCTAAGCATCAACCCGAGAAGACGTGTGCGATCGCGCCGCAATGGAATCTCCAACAACAACAACAACAACAACAACAACAACAACAACAACAACAACAACAACAACAACAACAACAACAACAACAACAACAACAACAACAACAACAACAA